TAAGAAAATTGAGTATATAAAAGATTGTGCTACCACAAAACCCACCATAGTCTTCCATAGCTAAATGGAAGGAATCCATTTTGGTTACAGCCCAGTATCCTCTCAACCTTGCATAAATATCTATATTTAAAGCTATATTTTGCCAGCTCTGTAAAGTTCCTATGCAGAATAGCAATAGTGTGCAATGCATCAGTGACTTGATGCTGTTATGTAGTGCACCATGCTGTATGAGCAACTTTTCTTCCATTGCAGCAGAAAATTCCATTATTCTGCATGTAATAATGCACTTCATATGTATTTTATGACTTGGACATACGCATGTCACTAACAGGAGGCCAGCCTTCATGTGTATACCCAATATGACAAGGCAAGGGGATTTATAATGCGATATTATGGGGGGGGGGGGTGGCACAGTGGGTTAAACCGCTGAGCTGCTGAACTTGTTGACCAAAAGGTTGCAGGTTCGAATCCGGGGAGTGGTATGAGCTCCCGCTGTCAGCCCCAGCTTCTGCCAACCTAGCAGTTCAAAAACATTTGCTCCAGCGGGAAGRTAACRGYRYTCCATGCAGTCATGCTGGCCACATGACCTTGGAGGTGTCTACGAACAATGCTGACTCTTCGGCTTAGAAATGGAGATGAGCACCAACCCCCAGAGTCGGGCACAACTAGACATAATGTCAGGGGAAAACCTTTACCTTTACCTTACTGGGAGGGTGGGGGGGAATGACACCAGTATTCATGGGACAGTGAAAATAAAAACATGCCCTATTTATTCACATTACAAATAGATTCCACATGCATAGCAGATCCGCATTGTTCATAGGGAAGCTTCTCTTTGCAACATTGACTTAAATGGTTGCTGTAGACTTAAGGCTTCCCTTGAAGGACCTACCTCTTTCCTCCACTTTTCTTCTCCAGTCTTCTCACCTGTCTTCCTTTAGGTTTATTTATACACTGTATTAAAGTCTGTCTTTTGAATGGAGGTAAGTGAGCAGAAAATAGTTGTCTAAAAAGCCAGATATAAGGCATGTAAATAATTTTTAGACACACAAATATATTTCAGCTGTTTACCACTAAATCTATTTTAGATATATTCATCAGATATGCCATGGAGTATTGCTTTAAAAAACCTAAAATACTTGAAACCAGCCATTTCTTCAAAGGAGATATATGTGGTGAAGAAATAATTTCCTGCAACATGGATCATGAAGATCAATATCTTGATGTGCTCCACAGTGAGCGTCTCCCTCACCTTCAACTCACTCATTAGCATTCAAGTGGAAATAGATGTATCTTTATGAGTTAAATATATACTTACCCAAGAGTTCAGCAAATAATTTAGTATTAGTTTAGAAGAAAAATAAAGTAAAGGCTTGGGGCTTCTATTGCTTGCATCAAATCCTGATTCCCCCATACTTCTCATGTAGGGGAAAGTTATTGAATAGATTTTGGATCCTAGTTGGGCTTCTTTAGTGGAAGCGTGGATTAATAGGCTCGTTTACATTACACTGGAGACCCTTCTGGCCAGAGGAGATCCCTATCCTTGAAGCACCAGCTCCTGGAACTTGGAACTAGAGTTGGGTTTCTGTTCAGAACTAAAAAAATCTCCCAAATTCCACAACCAGTATGACCAATGCTAGCAGGAGTATTTCTAGAAGTTCTAGTCTCCAAAAAAATCAATGTGACATAATTCAATGTGAGTTTGTGGAAACTCAGAGAAGATCAGAATTTTAGTAGATGGTAAAACAGTCATGTGGCCATATATTGACTGAGATAAATATTAATCCATGCCAGATATAGATGTCAGTAAATGGATGTAAGCTGAGACAACCTGCCCAGTATAGGCTTTGCATCTGCTTCAGAACAGTTACTAGGATTAGATGGGATTGGTCTGTCTATGCCTTCTTTGCAAAAGCTTTTTTTCCCTTTACTTTCTCTACAGAACAAATGAACACAACTGTGTTCTCAAAAGAAATTCATTGCTCTCTATTTACATAGGGAACATGTTGCCCAGTTTACACCTAATAATAATCTTGGCAAGGTAGCCCAAAAAATAACAATGTCAGCCATTCACAAGCTGCTCAACAAATCTTTCAAAGCTTTTCCCAGTTGCTTTGTTCATTAAGCACAGATACCTTAAGTCCTGAAAAATATGTGGCACTGTAAATAATACCAGGTTGCTATGTCTAGGCTGGTTTAATTTTGGGTGTTTGTCTGCCACTTACCGTGCCAATAATTTTTGGAACTGTGCTTAGTCAGAAATGGAAATGACAGGGTAGGTTTGGGCATTTTGAAGGAGGGAGATTAGGGTATCCCCCCCCCCACACCCACACACCCCTTTTTAAAAAACTACAACTTCTAAGAGTCACACAAGATAGGAGCCATGAGATTTTATTTATTTATTTACCATATTTATGTACCATCTTTCTCAGCCCAAAGGCGACTAAAAAAACCTGACTTTTTGTTTCCAACGTGTTAGCATTCAAAACTAGATTATTATACACCATGGGGACCTAAATCCTGCATATTCAAGTATATGCCAACAAAACTCCATCATTGTAAGTACATCTATAATGCTACCATGCACCTCAAGCCCCTCTTCCCATTCAAGCCTGGCAGCACCCCTACCGAGGGGGGGTCTTTTGAGGGTGGGCTGATCAGGACATTGCTCTCCCAAGTTGCAGGATGCATTGAGATGGAAAGCTAGAGAAATCCTTAGGGATGCTGCAGCTGCACGTTCTGACATTAGAAGCTATAAACATAAACCCAAAAGTTAGGGAACTATACATCTGGGTTACAATCATTAAAATATTAAATAGGAGGCTAACCATAAGAAACTATTCTATAAAATCTGTTTCATGAATGACACCCTGTGATATGAAACAGTCCACTTTTATTTCCCCCACTACATTTAATAATGGGCGCCCTGGTGGCTCAGTGGGTTAAATCGCTGAGCTGCTGAACTTGCTGACCGAAAGGTTGACGGTTCAGATCTGGGGAGTAGGGTGAGCTCCCGCTGTTAGGCCCAGCTTCGGCCAACCTAGCAGTTTGAAAGCATGCTAATGTGAGTAGATCAATAGGTACCTTATGTTTTTATGATGTCTTTTGCACGGTTTTATGGTTTTAATTATTGCACTGCAATGTATTTTAATTGTGCTATATTTTACTTCTATTTTTGCTATGCTTGATCCCCATATAAGCCATCCCAAGTCCCTTCAGGAAGATACTGCCGAGATATAAAAATTATGTTGTTATTATTATTATTATTATTATTATTATTATTATTATTATTATTATTATTATTATTATTTGAAACACAACGAGATGAGTTCACAGCAGACACTCTGCTGGCTGTTGTATTGGATCACATGTTGGACACTTCCCAAGTATCTAGGACTATGTGACATATCGGCAAATAATGACTGCAGATCCCAGTAAGGTGACCTTCTGCAGCTGGCACATTGTCAGGGCCGATTGTGTTTAAGTGCAGGCCAAGGTCTTTAGGCACTGCACCCAGTGTGCCGATCACCACTGGGACCAGCTTTATTGGTTTGTGCCAGAGTCTTTGCAGTTCGATCTTTAAATCCTCATATCATGTCAGCTTTTCTAGTTATTATTATCATTCTTATTCTTATACCACTTCTGCAGGAAAGTAATGGCGCTCCATGCAGTCATGCCAGCCACATGACCTTGGAGGTGACTAAGGACAACGCTGGCTCTTTGGCTTAGAAATGGAGATGAGAATCACCCCCCAGAGTTGGACACAACTAGATTTAATGTCAAGGGGAAACCTTTACCTTTACATTTAATAACCACAATGGAACGAGTGTAGAAGCGCTTCAAATATTTATTTCCATGGCAAAAATAGACTATGATATAATTCATTTCACATATATTACATATCAAAGTAAAACAAGCCTTTCTATCAAATACAATTTGTACATTGTTTTACAAACCCATTTCAATTGTACAAGATTTAAAGCTGAAGTGATTATACATTTTTACAATACTGATTGAGAGACAGAGAGAAGAAAGAGAGAGAAAGCAGAGCACGTGTTGTGAAAAAGAACCCCTTCTCTTAACGCGAGAAAAATAATACTTGAGAAGGGGCATATGAGCTCATGTTGTAGTAAAATATTGTAAAAATCCCTGTATATTGGCGTGAAAAGACAAAGGGGAAATTAAGTGCCAGGTCCAGCTACACTTGCATAGAGTAAATTCTAAACGCTGCAGAACATCTGATTAAGGCCAATGAGATTTTGAATTATCTGAATCTCATGCTATTTTGTAGGATCAATTCTGTCCAGCCCCAGCCGAAAGCTTTCAGTGCCAGATACGTATATTGCAATCCTGCCTTACCTCCCTTCAGTATGGTGTGGCCATGTGTACAACATGTTTCTAACCCAAAAGAGTGAAACCAAACCCTTGCACAGATATTACTGGTGTAGGAAGCAACAACCACCAACATTATTTGTCTTAACCATTTCCAAAAGAGTAGTCATGTAAGCCACTTGCAACAAAAGCAACAGAGTTCTATGGCAATTACTCTTGGGGAATTACAAATATGTGACCTACAATTATGCATTTATAACGGCTATGTATTGATAATTCTCTATTCCAAAATTTAGGAGCTATGCAGGGACTATGAAAACTCCTGAATCCTACTTACTGGTAAGCAGCTGCTGGGACCAACAGAGGTCTGCCCCCCTGTTGATTGAGAAGTGGCTGCTTGCTGTTTCCCACTCTCTTCCCCTTTTGTAAGCAATTTCAGCATGAGTGGGATCTGCGACAAGTCTTTCCTGTCATGCCAGAAATCACTTACAAGAAGAGTAAGAAATGTTAGGCAACTACTTCTTGAATTACAGGAGAAGAGATTCCCATCAATCCCAGCAGCTGCTTATTGGAAAGTGAGGTTTGAGGGTGAAGTCTGTTGGGAATTCACTCTGTTTTACTACAGTTATGTGCAATAAAATACATAGAGGTCATACAAGATTCAGCTGTAAGATCCAATAATACAGTCTTTAATGGTGCCAAAAGACTTTTTGGATGAAATCCTCATTACTTTCAATTAGAGTACACCTGTTCAATTCACTGCCAGATTCACCACGTAGGTGAATCAAGTTGATCCGCTGGCTCTAGCAAGGACTACTGGTAAGATTCTGGCTTTTATTTTTATACAATCCATGTAGGCTCCCCAGAATTCCTGATATTGGGAAATAATTCTCATGCTTAGTAGCAAATGAAACAATTCAGGAAAAGGAGATCGTGCTACAAATGTAAGAAAATGAGCTAAATGTAAGAAAATGAGCTAAATAAACTAACTGGCTCTTTTTCCCCCAACCGTTCCAGAAGTTCTTTTTTAGTTGTTTTCAAACTACTTCCGAGTCCTGGGATGCTCTAAGGGCCTCTTCACATGGAGCAATTTTGCCCCGTTTTGCTACTTTGGTGTGTGGTTTGGACGGGGCCTGCTGTGCGCCATCACACAATGCATGGCAAGCCCCACCCACATTCCTCCTAAAGTGGGGTGGAGGCTCCACCACTACGGGGAGGAAAGTGTTGTTTGCAATTTCCTCCCCTTTTTGCCATGTGATGGCAGAAAGGGCAACGAGGCAACGCACATTGCCAGACATTGCCGCCCTTTCTGCCATCTGATGGGGAGGGAAAGGATCTCCATCATGTGATGAGAGGAGGGAGGAGGGTGCACAGGGCACCATGACACAATGGCATGGCCCAAAAGGGCTGTGTAATACAACAAAATCATCCAAAGGATAAGAGCTAATTAGTTTATGTATTTGAACATCTTTTCTTCTCCACTTCAAGACTCTTCAATAAATCCAAGGTAGCTGCAAACATACAACCTCCCACAAAAGCACACAAAAGAAAGCACTCAATGCGCATCAGTGCTCTGTAGTTTGTGTAATCAACATTCATGCCTCAAACTTATTCCAGGACTCTCTATGTAATTATCTGCACAATGAAACCACTTCCTTCAATTTTGGTTTGAAACTGCATTACATGGTTAGTGTAGCTGGCCCCTAAGTGTACCCAAACACTTTCCAATCTGATCACGAACAGCAGTTCAAGGTTTCAAGCTGGATTATTTTGAAGGCATAATTGAAAACACCTGATTCCACAATAGCCTTACATCCAAGTTCCTAAACAACTTCCAAAGCTTCCAAAATCATGAAAACAAAAGGGTTCGGAACGGTACAGTGTTAGACCTGAGGATCCCAACTCTTTCTCCATCTGCTGCAAGAGATCCCGCTCTTGTTAAAGACCCAACACACTCCACATAAGAGCTTGCACATCCCTCAAAATGCATGTCAACAGACAGATGCAAAGGAATGCCAAAGAAACTGGTCCCTAGCACATTGTAGCGACAACAGCCACAACCAAGAACCCCCTTAGGCCCCTAAAACATCTGGTACATACTTGATAAAGGCTTATTTTGCCCTTGTAGCATTGCCCATGTTGACATCATAAAGTACTCTTGTGGTTTGCAAAAGTAGTTTTATCCTCAAACCCAGGCTACTCCTGTTAGGAAGGTAAGGAACAAATAATAATAATAATAATAATAATCCCACACCACTACCTAAGTAAGGAGCACACTTTTAATTCTCTAGGTATCTAAACTGGACAGCACCAGAATGTGCTATTAAGGTTTCTAACCTTTTCCTGTGCATTGTGCTAATATGTAGTAGGGCTCCCAAGATCCTCACCTTATAGCTTATATGTCTGGTTTGGAAATTAGCTATTGAACAGTAGCAAACACATGCAAACACGCACACACATACACACACACAAAACTGATCACTTTGGTTACAATACATGAAAAGCTACTCACAACTGTGGATATGAGTAGTAATTTTTATGGTACGTACAAGCCAAAATCAGGGTGATGACTTCAGCAAAAAGGGCTAATTGAGCTCAGCGAATTATGCTCCTGCAGGTGGAAGGGAAGAATCCACAATGTGGATTAGAAGAATTGGAGAATGTCTAGCTATAGAGACAAAGCCAAGTGCTCTAGGATCTTGCCTGGACCCCATGAGACAAAGCCCCATTCTACACTGCAATGAGGCCACATAAGGGCCTTCAGAAGCTGGACAGTAGGTCTGGGGAGATGCAAGAGATGGAGCAAACTTCAAAGTGCCCTATGTGTAAGAGAAACTCACACATGACCATACCACTAATGGGATGCCATCTAGGATTTAAAATTGAAAACAACTTTTTCCAAATCATGAGAGCTCAACCTGTAGCCCTCCAGGTGTTTTAGACTTCAATTCCCAGAATTCCTGAGCACTAGACAAGCGGACTATGGCTTCTGGGAGTTGGAGTCCCAAACACCTGGAGGGCCATGGGTTGTGCAGGCCTGCGTCATTGGGAGTTTTTTAATGCATGCTTAGGAATACCACACCATACTTCTGATAACCATGAAAGCCTGCAGAAGAGTTCCAAACCTTTCTGTGATACCTTCAAGCTTCCCAGAAAGCTCTGCCAGAAATGTAGCATTTTCAGAGTATATGAATGGATTTGCTGATTCAAGGAATGCAGGCAAAATGCCACAACTCAATTGAATGTGTTACAGAAATTAATAAATCGAATGGTTGACTTGAAAACTGGAAAACTAGTTGACCCAGACGGGTCACTAACAGAGATGACAAGAGTCTGTCCAATACTTAATTAGCATCACCGACATCAAAAACAGTCTGAATATTCTGGCCGTCAATCTTAAACCAGCAAAACACATCCACAATGGCAGAAGTCTAATCTCACTTTGTTGGGAACAATCCTGGCTAATGTTGAAAACAAAGCTTTACCTGGATCTCTTCCCCTCAAAAACAGATCAATTTGGTGATTGGCTAAACAATGTACAATAATCTCAATAACCCAATGAAAGATATCGTGAAGCATTTTTTCTAACCTAGTGATATTCTTGTTGCTCTTGATGAATATGCTTTCTATAGGCTTTTGCCACCCAATCAGAGCATTTATCATGGCTAAACCTCCCAGAGATCCCAAGGAAGGCAATTAGACGTCCCAAAAATTATAGCTCCTTGTAATCTCACCTCAACTCTATGGAAGAGTCTATTCTTAGGGATATCATCCGGGGGGGGGGGGGGGGTTAAATATATAACAATATGATACTTCATGATTTTATTCATTAGGAGATATATATATATACACACACACACACAGAGTAGAGTCTCGCTTATCCAACCTTCGCTCATCCAACATTCTGTATTATCCAACACAGCTGTTTCAATACATTGTCATATTTTGGTGTTAAACTCGTAAATACAGTAATTACTACATAACGTTGCTATGTATTTAACTGCTTTTACTGTCAATTTGTTGTAAAACATCATGCTTTGGTGCTTAATTTGTAAAATCATAATGTAATTTGATGTTTAATAGGCTTTTCCTTAATCCCTCCTTATTATCCAACATTTTCCAAAATTATCCAATGTTCTGCCAGCCAGTTTATGTTGGATAAGCAAGACTCTACTGTACATATAATACTGCAGCTTCTCCACTAAAAACACGCAAACCAATAACCACACTTGCACTCTCCCGGCTCACATACAATTTCCTCAATTACCAATCCTCAAAACCAAGTCACCACTCACTCACATCTTTGTAAAAAGCTCCTCTGAAGTCTCCTGGTATGCTAATCAATTCAACATATTGATACAACCAAAATAATTCCCTAGAGAAATAAAAGGCAGGAAAGTGCTTAAATACCATTTGTATCCACCTTGATTTCAACTAGTAGTAGAAAACCGTCTTGTGAATAAATGAATACACTGAGCGTACATTTCATTTTGGTTTCTTTTGGAACTCGTGGCGAACAATTTAGCATCACGTAATACTTTCCCCACCTATTCTTTTGGCCTAAAAATGTAGGCAAACAACATACTCCTTTCATTTCTTCTCCTGCTATAACCATTTCTCCTGGCTTTTTCTGTCTTACTTTATTACCCACGAGATTACCCCCAAATGTATTGCCTAATATAGGTCTTGGAATACATTTCCTTCCTTTTTTCACCATGCCTCAAATAATATGAGACATTACCTCGTGCCATTCCCTCCCCTTAACCAAAAACCTAGGAGCCCCCGGTGGCGCAGTGGGTTAAACCCCTGTGTTGGCAGGACTGAAGACCGACAGGTCGCGGGTTCAAATCCGGGGAAAGGCAGATGAGCTCCCTCTATGAGCTCCAGCTCCTCATGCAGGGACATGAGAGAAGCCTCCCACAAGGATGATAAAAACATCAAAATCATCCAGGCGTCCCCTGGGCAACGTCCTTGCAGATGGTCAATTCTCTCACACCAGGAGCAACTTGCAATCACTCCTGACACGACAAAAAAAACCCCCAAAAAGCTTAACCCCTTTCTTACTTCCTCTCTCTCTCTCTTTCCCTCTCTCTCTCTATAAACACATACACACACACACTGTGCTGAAATACTGTGCTGTTCACAGTTTTGTTTTGTTTTTTAGCAGAGCAGCAAAAAAGCACTAAATGCAAAACTAACTGCCTTAAATAGCTTTAACGGCTTCTTGGTGATATTATTTCCAATATGAAATCTGTACAATTCGCAAGCATTTTATATATGTATTAGGACTGATTGAAATACAAAATTTGGAGAAAAGTGATTGCGGTTTGTGATCTTGATATGTGCAGAGCAAACACCTTTCCCATATAATGTATCTACAAGTATACATTGGTAAAGCATCAGCATTTTCCCTCTCTTTCCTCTCCAAATGGGTTTTTATAAAATTAGAATGTCAATAATTTTCAGTATTGGGCAATGTTCTTTTGGTATGATAGGTTTTCTTACTGTAACACTATAAAGCACATGGAAAACACGGCATTGCAGTACATATCTATATTCCAGAAGCCACACTCGTTCCTTTCTTCTTCCAGCTGCCAATGCATTGTGAACAAACAGAGAAGCCCATCCACTCAAAGTCTTCTTTTGTCAGGACCAACAGTGATGACTGGTATTCAGCATCTTCAACCCAAGCCAAGAAGATTGCCCCCACGGAAGGCAGATTTCTGTTTTTTGTAAACTTGCAAAGAATGAACGTTGGAAGTAGAGTGAGGAAGGTTTATATAAGCCTTGAACTCTTCAGGAACTGAATAAGAACTCCATAGACAAATGTGTACTGGCATAACGTCTGCACCATCAGCATCCTTTGCTGTCTCAGCATGTCCAGCATTCTGGGGATGTCTAGAGGCTAGAAAGAGAAGGAGAAAGCAGGAAACAGTTTTGTCAACACTACGCTCTATGACAAGATCAGTGCAGCTTACAGGTTTTTGTTTGTTTATGGTTTTTTTTCTTGTGGTTGCTGGAAAGTTAGGCTATTGGGGGTCCTCTTTTAGTAGTGTCCTGCAAATGCTTACTTCCTCACCATTAATGTTGCCCCTTCCCATTTCCTTGCATCATGGAGTTGGAGGAGACCTCATGGGCCATCCAGTCCAACCCCCTACCAAGAAGAAGGAAAATTGCATTTAAAGCTCCCCCAACAAATGGCCATCCTGCCTCTGTTTAAAAGCCTCCAAAGAAGGAGCCTCCACCACACTCTGGGGCAGAGAGTTCCACTGCTGAAAAGCATTCACAGTTAGGAAGTTCTTCCTCATGTTCAGGTGGAATCACCTTTCCTATAGTTTGAAGCCATTGTTCCACTTCCTAGTCTCCAGGGCAGCAGAAAACAAGCTTGAAAACCATTCACTATGACTTCCTCTCACATATTTAAACATGGCTATCATGTCTCCTCTCAGCCTTCTCTTCTGCAGGCTAAACATGCCCGACACTTTAAGCTGCTCCTCATAGGGCTTGTTCTCCAGACCCTTGATCATTTTAGTCGCCCTCCTCTGGGCACTTTCCAGCTCATCAACATCTCCCTTCAATTGTGGCACCCAGAATTGGACACAGTATTCCAGGTGTGGTCTAACCAAGGCAGAATAGAGGAGTAGCATGACTTCCCTGAATCTAGACACTATACTCCAATTTATGCAGGCCAATGTCCCATTTGGCCTATCCTTTGGGGACAACCTGTACCATATCACAAGAAGGTAAAGGATATGGAAATGGAGGATTTCTTCTTTATATCCCTATTGCTGAGCACTCACTCACAGGTCACAACAGAAAGCAGGAATAACAAGAGGGGCAGAAGAAATTATACAGTTATATAATGCCACCAAAATCTAGACTCTTACAGTCAACATTGACAATAGCCATGTTCTGTACAGAAGATAGCATATCCCAAAATGCCTATTACTTCTGACACCAGGTCCAGGACAGATGCGCCCAAGAGCACTTTCCAGAGTGGTCAAGTGCTCAAAGACCATACTGATGATCACCTCACTAGTTTTATTAAGCATGTTCCTTAGGGGAGGACAGGAGATGATCTTTTGGGGTGTACTCAATTAATGTGGGAAAATGAAACACTAAATGTGCAAGCTTTTGAGAGGATGGAAATGCTGAAGCTCCAACTCTTGTTATGGTTTGCCACTGAACTTTGGAGGAAACCATACATGCCATTATTTTGATTAATTTACTCAAGGAACAATTGATGCCCCCAGAAATGCTGAAATTATATTTCTCTCACCACATGCTTACATACTAAAGTGTTAACTGAAGTTCACAGAAGAACACTTAATCATCCTCATCTCTCCCCCATCCCTTGTCCCACACCATTCAAACTTCTGGAGATGCTTTGAGGGAGTCTGTAGATGACAATATCAGAAGCAAAGGGCAAGGGATTCCTTTGATAGACTAAGTTTTCAATCAAACTTTGCTTTATTAGAGTTCACTACCCAATGCCATGCATGTTGAAGCTTTCAATGTTTCAGCATAGGGACTAGCCAAGCCACTCCCAGATTGACACTATTACAGTAATTACTAGTAAGTAAAAGAGATGATGGAGTGACGTGCCTATGAACAAATCTTTATAGGCAGACTGTGTTTGTAATAAAATTGCAAAACTTGTAGGTATGGTGGTGAGGTAACAAATACAGTACTAAAGTTGGTTGTTGCAGGTCAAAGGCAGGAGGAAAGATGTTACCAAAGGGAAGGTGAGTAGATAATCATATGAATAGTAGAAGAAGTAATTATGTAGTGTGCCAGGAAATTATTGTCTCTGTCCACCTGCCTCTTTTAAAAAGAAGCAATTACTAGAAGAAATAGATATTGTATGTGAAGGTATTGAAGCAGTACACCTTCAAGTATTAGACTCTAATTAGAGGAAAGAAAGGAACGAACAATGAGAGAAGGCGATGAAAGGATACCCTGTTCATGAGTGGGCCAAAGGCACTTTGCCATCCTTTGTTGGCAACAGAGTTCTAAACACCTTCATCTAATTCCTCGAGACACTTCTGACCTGATAAGCCCAGCACTGAGTTGAAGCCTATTAGAACGCCTGAGAGGGTGAAATGGCCCTTGGCCAATGAACACAAATGAAAATGCAGTGCAGACAAATGCCACCATCTCATTTGCATTTTCACTGGCCAATGACTATCACAACCACAGAAGACTTCTAATAATAGGGTTAGTAGAGTGCTTCTTTAGGATCCTGCTAAGTGGCTCTGAGGATGAGACATCAGGTGAGTTACTAGCAGCATTTCCAAAGAAAAATTCCAAATATCAATATGTCAGTATAAGAAATAACCTCATTGTGTTCCAAACAGGCAATCATGACCTCTGACAAGATGACCACTCCAGTTCTTCCCACACCGGCACTGCAATGCACTAGCAGAGGGGGGTTTGGAAGTGTTGGATCTGCAGTGCTATTTGTATGTCGCCGCACTGACTGTATCTCCTCCAGGTATGCTGTTAGATCAAAAGGAAAAGAAAAACAGACACGATGACCAAGTCCAGAAAATAACAGCCAACATATTAAAAATGTGTTCAGTTTAAAAAGTTCATCCCTTGTCTTTTGCCAGAAAATGGCATTCCAAAGGAGTCCAAAATATGACTCTCAGCTGTACTTTGATATTATTTATATCCTTCCTTTCTTTAGCTTAAAAGCTCCACACCTGTTAATAGAATGTTTGCTCTTTCATTTGCTTTCAGGCCATAAAATGCCTAATGAGCAAATACCAGCTCAAAACAAAATGGTACCTGGTGGTGGCAAACTGGCAGGCTATTTCTTCTTGTTGTCTTTATTTGCCTTCACGACAACTCCAACTAATGGCAAATTTAGCACAGAGTTTCTTGCCAAGATTAATTCAGATGACATTTCCCATTGCTTTTATCCCATTCATCCAGTGGGTTTCTATGGCTAAGCAGAGATTCAAACCCTGGTCTCCAGAAGTCCTAGTCTAATACTTATAGAATGGAAGAGACCGCATGGGCCATCCAGTCCGACCCCCTGCCATGCAGAACAAGGACAATGAAAGCATCCCTAAAAGAAGGCCATTTAGCCTTTGCTTAAAAGCCTCCAAAGAAGGAGCGTCCACTACACTCCGGGCAGAGAGTTCCACTGTTGAACAGCTCTTACAATCAGAAGATTCTTCCTAATATTTTGGTGGAATCTTCTTTCCTGTAATTTCAACCTTGCTATGAATCCTAGTTTCTATGGAAAAAGAAAACAACCCTGCTCCTTCTTCCTTATGACACCCTTTCAAATACCGAAACCACCATAGCCTAATGGTTCTTGACTGATTTTGGGAAAAGTCACAAAACACACTTCCCAATGCCTATTTCCCACAAAGCAGCCATGACTTAGTTACTGGCAAAGGTGATTTTAAAAAATCTTACATAGAAATCCTTTTATGTCTTCTGGGCAGCCATGCTCTGGCCAGTCAGTGTACTGGAGGTGCCAAACTGTTCTCTCTTGCCCTGTGAGGAGGTGCTTGATCTTCAAACCTGTTGTTGCATAACAACCGGAGTCTGTTCGGAATCGGGTGGTAATCTTAAATCTCCCATATGTCACTGTATTGTGCCTCGAGCCAAGCCGTGGCCAGTATCGGAAACTTTTCTCTCGGCCACCCTCCTGAAAACATTAAGCTTTGTCAATTAAAAAATGTTGGAAATAGCAACCTTCTACAAGCCTCCTATATTCATTGTTTGTTATGTATATAATTCAGATTGCTTACTATAATGCATGTATATATTGGTGTGCAGTTTTCCCCTTAACTCTATGTTGTTAGAGGTTGTAGGAGGGTCTACAGATCATGTGATTCAGATTTTAGAATCTTCAGAGTGAGACTTCATTTCAGAAGTCCGCTGGAGTCAGTTAAGTCAGATAGAAGATAGTTACGGCTTGAGTTAGTTGGAAGTTAGAAGTCAGTGAAGTTATTAATATCAGAGCAGGAGTATAGTTGGCATGAGATGTTAACGTATTAGTCTGTGTGCAGCAGATGTATAGTACAAAACAGTACAGTCAGTTGAAGTATAGTAAAATTTTAAGTAGTATTCATTTTAACATGAAACCAAATTTCATGTATTTACCTGTATGCTAAATACATGAAGTTTATAAGTAAATCAACTATGCTAACTTTTAATGAAGACTACTCATTTTTGGTCTGCTGAGAGTATGATTTTAAAGTAATATATTTTATGGGAAAGTAGATGACATATTTTTGGGCAACTGAAATAACACTTCTGAAGATCTGCTATATACTTTATGCATTGGCATATCTTTGTTCCTAATAGTTCAAGGAGATAATCAGGGATTCTAACAGCTGAGAAATTTAAATTGCCTTGCATGAATACTAGTGGATATTTACCACAAAGGAGAAGATTGACTCAAGCAAGTTTTTAACTCTTCTCAGGAAGATAATACTTTACAAAAAGGTTATGATCTCTAACAAGATCATGTCTTTCCAAAGGTTATGATTATTCCAAATAGCGTGAATGCCAATAAATTTCCAAAAGGGTCACGCTTCCAAAAGCCTATGGAGATTTCTGGCTTTCCCAATTTAAAATGCAAAAAAAAAATGTCTTCAAGGGAATTATGTTTATCTTTTAAATTGGTCAGCTCCTGCAAGGAGCCCTTGCACACATATATAATTATCTCCCTGTTAAGTACACAACAATCCTGAGAGGCAGTTTAGGCTGAGAGACAGCTTTCCAAAGCTACACAGTAACCCTGTCATTACCTCAGTGTGGACTTGAACCTGGACTTCCCCAGTCCTGAACTGGCCCCCAGCAACAGTCTGTTGAACCATCAGCAAAAATCAGACTGACGAGAGGTTTGACCATTAAAATTCACACATATGGAACTCATTTCATGTTGATGCTTCTGAAGTTGGAGAAATAACTCCAATACTAAGACGTTGTAGAACAGAAAACCACATCCAAGCCAATTATTGCCCAACGCAGACAACACTCACCTCTTCTGCTGTCACCATGGTTATAATGGCAATCCCTTGCTCCCACACCATCTGCCAGAAATCTTGGCACGTATTCTGCAAAGGGCCTTGGGTAGCAATGTAATCCCACTCCATACCCCCAACACAGACCTGTGTAGTGAAACAAGAAAGACTTACAGCTACTAAATGAGTCTGTAAAAGTATATCCATTTATAATACAAAGAGCTGGTGGGAAAACAGCTGCATCCTGTGATAAAGGATGAGAACAAACAAATCTAGATTAGTCTGGAAAGTTTTTGCCCTTGTTCTTTCCATCACCAAAGGATTTATAATCACCAAATAAATTGTAAAGATAACGAAACATGGACACAACCTCTTCCTTAATGTGGTCTCTTCTGTGCCAGATGGAAAGCTGAGGCCATAAGGCTAATAATCCTCTTAAAGCCCATGTACTATGGCCTCTCCTGAACAGAGATAACTTGTCCAGGCACTAGTAATTTCCCAGTTAGACTACTGCAAGGTGCTCTATATCTGGTTCTCCTGAAGATGACTGCCTACTAGTCATTTAATTTAGAGCACTATAATGATTATATTTACAACCTGAATCACATATTCCTATATAATCTACTTGATTATATAGGAATAATTTTGAGATAAGAGGAGGTCCCTTCTTATGTGTCCTAGAATGTGAATAATCAATTACAAAAGACAGAGGAAAAGCAGGAAGATGCCCTTCCCTTGGAGGCCCTCCCCATTTGTGCTAACACTGGCTACGTTCCAGCACCAAGGAAAAATGCACTTTGTATAACAGTCTCTCTGATCTGAAGATATTGCCTGACTCCACATAGATGTATAATTTTAAACTGGTTTTAACTGTTTTCAATTGATTTTGTTGCATCTATTCCTGAAAACTTATGACAAAGCAAGTACAAATAGTTTAATAAAGAACAAAATATTTTAAAAATCAAAACCTAATCAGTTGATTTCAAAAGACCATATTTATGCTCTCACATTCAGAAACATAACCCTGAAAACAGCAGTTTTGAAACTCACTCTTTGAGAGAGAGAAAAATTGAGCCAAAAACTGTTTTCTATGAGAAACACTCCAAGATAGGATTCATGAGGATTTGAAAATGTAAGGAATGTATTTTAAGATGTTTCTCACTGAATCTCACAGAAGATAAAGACTGAGGAATGGAGAAAGACATTTTGGATATAATTCATTTTTTGTTGCTGTTGCATGAAACACCATGGCTAGAAACCTATGATACTATTCACAATTGAGTCCACCATTGATTAAACGGTTTGTTCTTTCAGTGTACAGAAAGACAAAGTAGACATGTAGAATACATCAGCTTAGGGTTTTTGTTTTGAATTCTTTGTACTCATAAATAGTAATCCAAATTAAATATTCTAGGGTGGACGAACCCCTTTGTATCTACTAAGAAAAGTAAATTTCTTTCACACTTTCATTCTGCACCGGCTTTAGCATATTCAGCTTGCATTTTATAAAAACCTTTAGTCTGGTCAATTTTAATAAATGTTTCAAAGACAATTGTTGGGGAGATCATTCAATAAAACAGTTTTCCTGATCTCACCTTAATATGGGAAGCATTAATATAGCCTGTATTATTTTCTTTCGTAGGGACCAGCTCTACTCTAGTGTCATCATACGGAAGTACATCTTGGAATCTGTTCCGTTCTGCATTTTCTGGGAGACGGGCTATGGAACAGTCGCCATCCATAAGTCTTTTCTTTTGGATACGTTCATACTCTGTAAACACCATTCCTTGTTCTAACCGCTGTTCCAGACATTTACACTAGAAACAGGAAAATATATGAATACACCATTTTGCATAAAGATATAAACACGTATATTTCTTTCCCTTTCTCTCTATCTATCTGGCTATCTAACTATGACTATAACTGTGAATATATAAAGGGGGGGGGGGTTAATAGTATTAACTTTGTGTATGTTGAGTACAATCTTTTGACTGAGTAAAATCTTGGGATTGAATATAATCTAGTACCAAATCCAAAAATAACTATCCATATAAAATAAAGGCTGAGATTCCAATGGAACAGTGCAGTGTAATAGTTCTTCTTGCAGAATTATGTTACATTTGTCCATGCAACAGCCCCTCTCCAAACTCATTTTTTCAACATTTCAGCTTCCACACACATCTCATCCCCTATCCTACACCATTCCCCAGATGGAAGAGAGCAGAATGGGGTCAGAGAAGCATCTGGCTATGTCTCCATAGCTAGATAATGGATGATGGCATCATCAACTGAGGTCTTCTTTCTGGAGGTATCAGTGGAGATTGTAATCATACTGCTTCTGGCAATGGGGAAGGAAACTTTGGTTGTTGTAGTGGATAGAGAATATCAACCACCATTAAACCACCCAAAGATGCATGGCTATGTATTCCACTAAGAGGGATGTCAACTAAAGAAAACTGGGAAAACTGAAAAGGTTGCCTCCAACAAACACTGTGGAGTGAACCAAGGTGTCACCCCTCTACAAGTTCAAATGTGTGCCTCAGACCTGTTCTGGATGATCAATGCAAGAAAGCCAGACTTTGTTAGTGTAACATAGGGTACAGCCTGGGTGAATTAAAATGGCTTCTCAAACTTCATGGAGAAAGTCAATTCAGTAGATCTCAAAGTCAAGAGATACTATCACAGAAAAAAATTCTACTATTCTACTGTTTTCTTCATGGCTATTCAGTATATCTCTACAGGTAAGGAGTACACAGAGCAGGATAGATATACACCCTTTTCAATGCCACCTTTCTGCGCTATATGGCTCCTGGGACAATATTCAAAAGGTTAAGTATAACATAAAATACAAGTGTATACACAAACACTAAAAATATTTTCTTAAGGTTGTGCATTTTTCCTATAAGCTAATCCTAGTGCCTTTACTCAGATAAAACCTTTCCTTGGGGTAGTAGTCAAGGTTATTTAATTATGAAAATTAAATATAAACTTCAAACATATAGCTCAGAGAAAACATGAAACCAACCCGTTCATCATTTGTAGCTCTGGTGGGTTCCTCCCTTCCTTCATCTGGCAGAGGAAGTCGAGATAATGTCAGTCCATTGAGAGCAGCTAACTTCAAAGGTCCTATTTTTTTTGCTTCAGCTCTGTTCTTTTTCATGACCTGCTGGAACAAGGCACCCTTACAACATAATGTAGTAGAAATGTGGGGCGACTCAGCTGCAAAAGGGAAGCAATTCAGCTTGTCTTTCGAAAGCAGGGAAAAAAAGGCACGCCAATAGCTTCCTTGGCTGACACCACCTTACAGAGAATGCAGTCACAAAACAGCATTCTTTCCATCTTGCTGGTCCTCATTCCATCTTTTCAAACTTTTCATACTTCATAGGAATGATAAATAGACCTTAGCAGTTTAAAAGCACTGTTCTACTCAATGAACTTTGCGAAATAACTGCAGGTGATGGTACAAAAATAGGACAGGACAGCTGCAGTCTGGCATCCATGGAGTCCCAGCAGTTTGCTTTTATTTTGATCTTCTGCCAAGGAACCCAAGTCTGACAGACAACTATTCCATTCTGTCATTCATATTCTGGAAGGTAGACAAGGCTGAGAGTACATGATCAGCATAAATTTTGTAGCTCAGCATCACATTGAAACCAACTCTTATTTCTAGTACTCTAGCTTCTGCACCAGTGGTTCTCGACCTGTGGGTCCCCAGGTGTTTTGGCCTACAACTCCCAGAAATCCCAGCCAGTTTACCAACTGTTAGGATTTCTGGGAGTTAAGGGACAAAACACCCGGGGCCCCACAGGTTGAGAACCACTGTTCTACACTGTACTGGTTTACAGAAGGCCTAACATATGCTGTATTGGTTAAGAGTGTTGGACTGGAACCTAGGAAATCCAGGCTTAAAGCCTTACTGAGCCATAAAATATCACTGGAAGACCTTGGACAATCAGTCTGCCTTTCTGCTTACCTACTGGATGGAACAGTTATGAGAATTTTTGCAAATATAGTCACTTACAAATTTGATTAATATGCTCTCTTTAGGAATCTCTAGTCCTCCAATACGACTCCCTAGTAAGCTTTCATTAGAAGTAATTATAGAGTTATCCAGGAGGACCTAGAAAATTCGTAGAAAGAATACCTCTCCAAAGATTGACGTATAGAATTCTCTCTCCTTTCTAGGAATTTGCTAGGTCCTTCAGATTAATCCTATGGTAACTTCCATCAGAAGTCATTCATTTCAATAAGGTTCACATCCATCCACAGTTTCCTCTTTCCACAGGAAGGTTTTCCTCCTAGAACCATATCATCCACTAACTGGTGCCTGGCATAGAGTCATAGAATAATAGAGTTGGAATAGACTATGTGGGCCATCTAGTCCAACTACCTGTCATACAGGAAGAACACAATCAAATATACCAACTTTGAATTTTAAGAATTATAAACCAAGGTAGGAAGTCCATATAATCATTCAACACAAGAACATCAAGCCCTTTTCATTTCAGCTATATCCCTCTACATTTCTAGTAAAGAAATTGTGGGCAGCTGAACTGCAAAGAGTTCTACTTAAGGACCTAAAAGCTGAAAGAAAGAAAGAAAGAAAGAAAGAAAGAAAGAAAGAAAGAAAGAAAGAAAGAAAGAGAAAACCTACAAGACTCATTTATATCTAAACAATATTTTAGTCCAGACTAGAGAATACCCATTAAATCTTCCAGTTTTATCTACATGTTGATTCATTATTCAACAATTGATTGAATGTGTCTTTTCTAGTTGGATCAAACCTTATTGGGTCCATTGACTGGTTCTAGTAAGAGACTTATATGATACAACAGAAAAAGAAATAGAAGAGGAAAATCCTGGGGAAGAACTTACCCCTAAAGGAGGTAAACCTTCGACTACATTCTTCTTCCCCGAAAGTAGTTCAGATACAGGCCTCTTCTTTACAGAATCCTTCCGCACTCTGTACCTTGTGCACATTGTTAGATCAGATTCAGATACAGATGGGGTCAACATCCCATCACCTCTCCTCTGTACTTGAGTGTCAGCCATGATGTGAGTGGGGATCACATCTTTTACCCTCTTCTCGGTCTCTGTAATATGTAACTTAGGTTCATGGATATGTAAAGGTCCAGGAGAGGGAGCAATGGAACTGTAAGGATAGTTCAATAAGGATTCAGGAGGGTAACAACCCATGACAGAAGGAAGCTGGGATTTCCCATCAATGAATGGGGAGAGTGCTGTGTTTGTCTTGCTGTCTTCTTCAAAGTCCTCCTCTTCCTCGCTGCTATGAATCAGCATGGTGGCATCTGAAAGAGACTTCTTATGCCCATAATTCACATTTTCTTCTTGTTCCTCATTTTCCTCTTGCTTTGTTCTTTCCAGGAAAACGGTGGGCTGGGATCCAGCGGGAACCACCCTTGTCAGGGCTACATCTGCAGCTGAGGCTGACATGGTCCTCTCTTTCATCCTCATGGCCTCAAAGCTGTGGGCCAAACCAGCAATTTCAATACTGTTCCTCTTCTGCAACTGAGCATGCCGGGCCGATGTCAAAGGCTCGCTCACTTCCTGGAGGGAATGTGCAACCGGTAAACTGTCTTCCTGAAATGTCTGGACTGAGTGATGAACTCGTCGGGTGATGAGGTCAGGGTTGCTGCTGCTGATATAGAGGTGTCGGGAGAGGTCCGGGGTGCTGTTGGCTGGTCTAGGATAGGGATAAGGAGGAGGAGGGCGATATACTTGCGTCTTCATGATGTTTGGTGCAGGATAATCTTGAGCCTGTAACTGAACATTTGTCAGTTCAGGAACACTGACAGCTCCAACAACCAGACGCCGTTCAGCAGGATAGGGGTATGGGGTTTGGCTATGGAAACTGTAATTTAGATTAAAGGGGTAGTGCCCAGAATGAGGTGAAGTGAAATTAGCATGCTCTCGAATTTCAGGCTGGCTATACACCATAGCATCGGGCCTACTGTAGGCATATGAATTGCCAATGTTGAGGTTTCTCATGGAATGACTCTGCTTGTCTGAATGTATCATTCCCCGGTTAAGCTGCTTCATGACAGTCTCATAATCTGGGGTAGGCCGATAAGAAGGTGGTATAAGGGCACTGTGCCGATGTGACGGGACATAATCAGATCTGAGGACGTCACTGCCAGTAATGCTTGGATTGGAGGACATGGGTGATGGCTGCATATAGTGCTGTGGGTTATTCAGGGAGTTTGTACTGTGAGCGCTGTAGACGCTGCCGTTGCGGATTCTGCCATTATAATCATGCGGTGCTCTATCCAGGCTGGTCTGAGAGTGGCAATAATAGCCATTCTGATTATTCCCATAGAGATTATCTGAAATACATGTGACCATCCATTTACAAACAGGAAAAAGACACACAATGGCTATTGTCAAAGTGTCAGCTTTCTGCCTCACCAATGTGATTCTGAATAAGGAACAGAACTTTCTGAATCAACAAACAAATCCCTGGCAACTTCACTGTCATCAACAAAGAATTTTAAGTATTCTATATTTTAACTGTGAGCTAACCTACACATAGCAGAAGATATTTAACACTGTACCAACCAGAATACACCCAGTCTAAGCTGGTTTTGGAAACTAGGGGTCTGGTTAATATTTGGATGACACTAGGAATCTCCAGGCATGACTAACAACAAATCTTGCCTGAGCTCCTGGAGAATCAGCTGTCAGTCAAAGGCAATAGTTTTGGTCTAGATGTGACTATTATCTTCTTTAGTATGAAGGAAGTTCCTACATAGATAAAGGTAAGGGTTTTCCCCTGACATTAAGTCCAGTTGTGTCCAACGCAAGAGCACCAACTCTTGGTGCTCATCTGCTTTTTTAAGCCGAAGAGCCGGCATTGTCCATAGCCACCTTCAAGGTCATGTGACTGGCATGACTGCATGGAGCACCTTTACCTTCCCACCGGAGAGGTACCTATTGATCTACTCACATTTGCATGTTTTCGAACTGCTACGTTGGCAGAAGCTGGGGCTAACAGCGGGAACTTATTACACTCCCAGATTCGGACCTGTGACCAGTAATTTCAGAAGCTCAGCACTTTAACCCACTGTGCCACCGGGGGCTCCTACATACTGACACAATAAACATCTCTTTGTCTTGTTCTATGGGGGATGAAATTAGGAAAGGGGCCACTGCCTGCTCTTGACTTTATTAATTTGAGCAAGGACATTTTGAAATAGAGACTTTCTGGGAATTTTTTCAGATTTGTTTCAATGTGAATACGATCCTCTGTGACTCAGGAACACAGCTTTATCAGTGAGTCTTTTTTAAGCTTAACCTTTCCTTTTCTGCACTACCATGCACTACAAAATTTCAGCTTGAAATAGTCTATCAAAGAAGCAAATTGAAGGTTTTTTCAAATATAAATGCAGTGCAGGAAGTGATAGTGAGGGAAGTTCAGAACCAGGGAGAGACTGATAAATCCCTCGTTCGTTTCAACTCTCTAGGAGATTTTTCAGCTGAAGTGAAGATCAAATACTTTTGATAACAACAATAATAAAAGGCTCCTAGTTTTCCCCCCAAGCCTAACAGTGAAGAGAGTACGTATGGCAGAGGGAAGATATCCTTTGGTTCTGCCCAACTCTGGCACACAGATCCCGTAAGAGTACTTTAGAGAGAATGAAGTCATATGAAGGTTTCCCATCCCTGTGCCACATGTCGGTGAAAATTCTCCAATGATATTTTCTTCTGTATGTTCACTGAGTTACCTTTATTTTCTTCAAGAGTTACCACTTGACAATGCATACCAAGACCTATCTATCCGAACGTATCTCGGCCTATCAGCCCACCAGGACCCTAAGATCTTCTGGGGAGGCCCTGCTCTCTATCCCGCCTGCTTCACAGGTGCGGCTGGCGGGGACGAGAGACAGGGCCTTTTCTGTGGTGGCCCCTCGGCTTTGGAACGCCCTCCCCATAGAGGTAAGATCAGCCCCCTCGCTGATGGTGTTTCGAAAAAGATTGAAGACATGGATGTTCAAACAAGCATTCGGTTAATCCGGTGCAATGAATTTGATGATCAAAGGACTGGTAATCACAGACGACGAAATTGGATTGCGATTTTAGTTAAGAGATGCATTGGATTGTTATTGGTGGCCCAATACTGTGTACTGTGTATGTGTTTTTTATGCTTTTTAAATTGAATATTGTTGATTGTTGTAGTGTTGTAAACCGCGTTGAGTCGCCAATTTAGGCTGAGAAACGGCGGTATACAAGCGCAGTAATAAATAAATAAATAAATAAATAAATAAATAAATAAATAATAAAGCTCTGGATGGAAAAGATCCTGAAAAGTAACTCTCAGTCAAAACGGACAAGATAGACTAGAGGGTCAGACAGCAAGAGACTTCTACTGTTAAACTTGGTTCTATATGAAAGGGTCACACTTAGGCAGCACCCAGAAACTGTTTGGTCTGAGGGCCCTTCCACACAGCCCTATATCCCAGAATATCAAGGCAGAAAATCCCACATTATCTGAGTGTGGACTCAGATAAGCCAGCTCAAAGCAGATATGTGGGATTTTCTGCCTTGATATTCTGGGATATAGGGCTGTGTGGAAGGGATCTGAGACTTACTTCTTATTAATAACCAGTAAGCAAAATGGGTTCTCAGCTACTTCCAATTTTGGAAAATACATCCTCACAATAAAAACCTTTAATTTTCCTGAACAAACTGAATATTTACCTTGTGAAGATGTATATGGCTCTGCGAAGTGTCCGTTGTAGTGTAACTGAGGTGGGGCTGGCGTCATCATATAAGGTTGTGGTTTGGGCTGCTATAAAAATATAGTTGAAGTAAGTGGAAGAAGTTGATAATGGAATCATAGAAGATCCTAAATCTTCATTGCACTTTGGATACTTGGAGGGATCCCAATGAACCTGAAATGCTTTTGCAAGCTTCTTAGCATCTCTGACCAGAGGTCAGAGGTATAACAGTGCACACCAGTTGACAGACATAAATGAAAACTCTTCAACCTTCAGAGATGGAGAGGTCCTTGTGTGTCTACATACACGTCCTAACTCTGTGCATGCAAGTGAAATGCTCAAGCAGGAAGCCTACATTTTGACAAAAAAGTCAACCAGATCTTGATTAGCCATATTTGGAAGTTAATAGGACAGAGGTTGTGGCACCTGTCAAATAGCTGATTAATGGTATCTACATTAAGCTAATGAGCCTTCAGCAGCCAATTCCTGACTATTATGAAGGAATCAATCACTTTTTGTGGAAAACCCGAATTAAATAAAGAATTAGGACCGTGCAAAACAACTAGCCTCATAATTCTCATGATTAAGAACATAACAAGGGATCGATTTGTTGCAAACATAGTTTGTATGATTTTAAGAAATGGATGTGATTGTCCTCTCAGGAAAAAGTGTCTGAGAGAAGGAGTACAAGCCTTATACAAGGAATTAACCCTCCAAAAACAGAGTTGCAGTAAAGTATATTGATGCTAATGATGGCTTCCTTTCCTATTAGGGTTCCTCCTAGTTGCCTCTCATGGATCACATTTCTGTTCAAGTCCTGATTTTAAACCTACTGTAACTACATGTGATTCTCTATCATCTTCCTTAAGAGTTTTCCTCAGAGGCAACTGCTTTGGCCATTGTGTAAAAATAATGTTCGCTGTTTGGCCAGTATAGTTCTTATTGTGTGCTTAATGTAATGACTAATTACCCAAAAACAGAGCTCAAAAAGGATAGGTTTTGGACTACAACTCCTGTGCTAGCTTGGTGCTTCTGGTGTTGTAGTCAAAAGTACACTTTTCAAGACTTGCTTGAAGGTATAATAAGGAATTTGTGATATTTTCAATTCTTACTCTTCTCTTCCTTTTTCCATCTAAGTAATATAGAATACAACAATATGCAGTTGCAAGTTTTGGCAGCACAAAGTCTTTTTTTTTAACTCTCAAAACATAGGTACCAGTGCTCCTCCCCTATGGTCAAACTCATTTCCAAGACCTCAATTAGCCACTGTATTCTGATTTATAAGGAAGGATATAAGTCCAAATCTGTATGCTTTAATTAAGCCTTTTCTCTTACTGCAGTTCTCTCTTGGCAAAATGAGGATATTATCATGTATAGAACTAAAAAGATGTAAGAATGATGAGGGATCAATACAAAAGTTTATCTAGTTCAGTATTCCGTTCCTACAGCATCCGAGAGCAGTACCTAGACATGCATGCTTTCTGCAAATTGGTATTCAGAGAATGGTAACATGCTTCAGCACATTAAATGTGCCAGTATTAGAAATATTTATATATATTTAAAGTATATTTAAAGTGGCACCACACAGTTAAGAAAGGGTGTGTAACAATTTTGTTAGCACAGCATAGCAAACTATTTCAAAATCTGACATTCATGTGCTGCAAGCTTCATTGCGAAAGGCTAGGTGTTCCTAGAAACCTCAGATTAAAATTGTATGAATTTATTTGAAGGAGTTGTGTAATTCTTGCAACACTGCTCAAAGACAGGGAGAAGACTACATCTGAGAAAATATTTTCAATTTATTTTGGGTACAGTCTATTCTCTAACTGTTAAGAAGACAGTAGATATTCTCACATGCTGTTAATCTCCAGGAAACTGCTAGACGATAAACAGCTCCTCTATTAAAAGCCCTAGGCCAGGTTTTCAGATGTTAACTTATAAGTTCTTTCACTATTCTTTTTAGAAAGGTAGACTGCCTGCCATAAATGAAGCAAGGAATGATTAAGAGAGAAACTCTAATCTCTTGATTCATGGAAGTGACAGAAACAACTCTTCTATCAAATTGAACTATTTCAATACTGAGCTTTAGTCCAACTATTTATTTATTTATTGTATTGTCGAAGGCTTTCATGGCCGGAATCACTGGGTTGTTGTTATTTATTTATTTACTATATTTATATACTGAGGGAGGAGGGGGGACTGAAGTTGGTTTATAATATACTAATGGCAAAAATTCAATGCCAACATACATGTGGACAGAAAAAAAATCATACTAAACACTAACATGTAACTATAAATTAAATCATTAAACCATTAAAAATGAGACATAACATTTAAGATTAAAAAGCATTAAAATATAGTAGACATATTAAAATAACATAATCCAAAAATCATACACCGTAGTCATTTCGATTGTCATTGCACATCTTTCCTTATTATTCTTTGCACTTTATTAATTTACTGGCCAAAGGCTTGGTCTCATAACCACATCTTTGTTTTCTTTCTAAAGGCCAGGAGGGCAGGCACTGATCTAATCTCACTGGAGAGAGAGTTCCAGAGCCAAGAATCCACCACTGAGAAGGCTCTGTCTCTCATTCCCACCAACTGCACTAGGCAATTATTTAGAAGTAAAAATATATAGACAACCCACCACCTGTTATTTAAACAATGTATATCCATTATGTTTCTTTGATTTTCTTGCTCACATTAATATATAATATCTAAAAACAAACCAAGAAATAAGGAGCAGTTGAAAGCTAGAGACCTTACCAGAGACAGCCTGGATGATGATCGCCTCCTAACTGGATTGACTGTCACTGTATGAGCTTGTCTACAAAGCAAAGGGAAATGAAAAAATACAGATTTGCAGTGATAATAAGAGAGTGGTATCAGATTCATATTATTATTATTATTATTATTATTATTATTATTATTATTATTATTATTGATACCCCCACTTTATCTTCTCCAAAGGGGACTCAAAGTGGTTTAACATAAAAGCATCATAACCATTTAAAATACACAAATATATAAACATTAAAACAGAATATTCGAAATACATTGTTCAACAGTACTTATTACCTAAAGTTTTTAGAAATTCATCCTTAGTATTCTGAACTCTTAAAATGATTGCTATACTGGAAACTTATCTTCTTATAAACAAAGGCAGAAGTCTCCACAGGGAGAGAGTATATGCACTCATGTACACACATCACACACACAAGCAAATCAAGGGGAATGCAACCCCCTTTTCATGTTTTTTTTTCTCCACCAGCAAAAGGCCTGCATGTATTACAATGGCATTAGGAGTTCTAAGAGATTCCCAGAAATATACTCAAATGAATGCAGTGCAGTCAGCCCTGCATATCTACAGATTCTTTATCTATGGATTCAACCATCCATTCCAGAAAAAAGTCCCAACAGCAAACCTTGATGTTGCCATTTTACTACACCATTGTATATAATAAGACATTATATTTTACACAGCCTCCAGTAAATTCCCTCCAGAGCACTACTTGTACCATCGCTAGCAAGTGAAGCTAGAGTTCTAACAAAGTATTTGTCGAACCACAACTGGTGAATCTCTAAGCAAACGTTATTTTGCCTGGTTATTTTTTTAGATGCACTGACCAAACACTTCAAGAGATGGCTTTCTATTTCCATGGAGGCATAGCCACATATGGCACGAAGCTTGGTCTGTGCTATAGAACATAATAATGTTGGACTATAGTGTGGAGGGGGTTGCAACCTAGAGGAGACCCATCCACACAAACCCTAAAGCACTGGTCTGCTTTTTTCTGCAGTATCTCAAATGTTGTCTTGTCTTCCACTGACTCAAAATGTTGACATGGTCATGCACAGAGAAACACTTCAAGGTGGTTAATCTACCATATGTTCAACATTACATGGAGGAAAACGGAGGCAAATAAACATTGTTCCCATCCTGAAATTTTATTCTGAATGCTAAACTGCATTTAATCAAGTCACTTCAAAGTCTATACTTGGAAATATTATTTTTGGATCACTGTAGTCATATTGGCTGGGTGATTCTGGAAATTGCAGTTCCCAAAAGAAACCTTTCCAGCTTCTGATCAGGGTAGGGTAAGAGCAGCCCTGCCTCAAATAAGTACAGGAATAGTACAAATACCTAACATGCAAAGAACACAGAAGGAAAGAAAGAGAATGTTTTCTGGCTCACCCTTTGGGTAGAGAAGGACGAGAAAGGATTGGAAAGCGTGGAAAGGAAAGAATGAGGAAAGATTTCTGAGAGCCTTCCTCAGGCGGAGAATCGGGGGAATCTCTAAAGACAAGGTACATGCAGACAAAATGGAGGCAATGAAATAGCACATTGAAAAAGAAAGGATGTTGGTTACAACAGAGGAGACATTTGAAGCCCATTTTCCAGTGGACATTTGAAGGGTGTTCTTTTTATGTGGCCATTACCATATGCTCCTTCCTATACTACAGAATGAAAACATAAACTTGCTTCTATACAAAGTTTCTGTTAATCTAAGACAGGGATGCAACAGAAGTGGTTTCTGAGGTAGCTTTTATGTTTGGCCAGCAGGCATGAGTTAGGCAAGATTCTCCACTGCTATTCCAGAAATATATATTTTAATCCACACAGCTAATAAGAAAACATGTTAGCAAACTATGTTAAAGAAACTGAAAGACAAACAAAACTACAGAAACATTCACCATATCTCATGAATTCAAGGAAGTGTGCTGCTTTGTTTGGCTGTTGGTTTGTTTTGAGGGGTTGAGCCAATGTTTGAAACATAGTACACTTTTGCTACCACAACATGACAAAAGGGTAAATGCACGGTGTTTGCTATGCAATATTAAGGACCAATAATCCAGTATTTCTGTAAAATGATATGAAACTCAAAGGCAACTCAGAGCTGTGAACCTCTGTTTCAGGATACCTGAACCAAAGGACTTGTTTATGAAAATTACTCAGATAACAAAGGGCAGTAACTGACCAAACTGAAACTGACCAAATAGCCATGGAAAAGAAATAAAACTGCTTCCCACTACACAAGCGTCACTCCATCCCAATGCCTGGTTCCATCTCTGTGTGGCCCATCTATTGTATGTACACTTTCATGTGGTTCCTTTGCAAGTTATTTTATTTCCCAAGTTTCCTATTCCCACAACACAAAGAAGCCCATGGCATCACATGCCGGTTCAGGATTAAATCCACGGTTGTAATTATTTTCTTCCCCTTTTATATAATTAAATTCAAATTATATAGCTGGAAATTTAATCATTTTGAAAACTTTCTAATGCCTTGTTGGATGGTTTTAATGTGCTGGGTCCAAAGATGCTCTTCCACTTAAACAAGACCCATTCCCAACTTAGAAAAAGAGCATAATGTGAGAAAAGCGACCACAAATTTCAAAGAGTTTCTCCATCTACACAAATCCTTTCTTATATAATTTGTCACATATTTTAATAGAATATGCATTACAGATGTTATAATCCTTATTCATTTTTTTCTTAGCCTCTAATGCAGCCTCTGATACACTGTTCTAATGAATAGTGTGAATACTAACTGTTGAATAAGACTTCCAAAAAGCACTAATGTATACTTTGCCTACTATTCCATTTTTTAATCCAACCCATTATTTCCAGGTTCTGCTCCAAAACAAAGAATTACATGGGTTCTTATTTGAGCAAAACTCTTTCCTAGAGAAATAAGTTGCAGTCTTAGGATAATGAACCTGCTTAACTTGGAAATCACAATGTTAGAGTTCATATGGAGAAATTCTATAGTAGTGTTGTACTTACAGGCTACATTTATTTAGTCTATAAAATTTGTGCCTGGCCACACACATTCTCCACACGTATTTTGCCGTCTCCATGTCTTCCTGTTGAACAAAAGAGATAAGTGTAAGAGAAAGCTGGAAAGATGCTAAGTAAAACCCATAGATATTTGGTAACAATTTCCTATTGGGTTGACCAGCAGAGAGGAAGACAATCCAGCTCAGTTATCCCATCCACTGGACATGCCCACAAGCCCCTCAAAACCAATGTGGACATATTCATAAAAATCAAATCTATGAACAACACAAATGCCTACAATATGTGGACCAGAGTTATCTAAGGTCTTGTCTACACTTCAAACCAGTATTGAAAAAAGAGGTTTTACTATGCAGATGATTATATAGGAAATCCTGGCATCTGTTTGAGGCCAAGGTGGTGATTACATAAACCATAAAGCACTGGTGCACATTTAAGGGCTTTCTTTCATGCACTTTTGTGGGAGTTTGTTGTCTGACCACCACAATTTGAAGTTAGCTTAAGTGAAATTTAAATGGTGCTTCTCTGGTCTCCATAACTTTAGAGAATGACAAATAAACTTCAAAAACATGTCAGAAAAAATTGTACCACAACAAGACCACAAATTGAATATATTGCAAGGAGTTAACGGCTGCTTATCTAATTGAAAAATAATGACTACATTGTGCTCAGTAGTTACAAGATGATAAGATGGACTTCAAAACTGCTAAGGAGTCACATTTATAGTGGTAAATGACTGAATGTGACCCCCAAAATCTTACCTTTGAAGTCTGGTGGCACCATGACCAAAGGGTTTCCAAATGCTAGGAAACAATGTTTGCAGGGTTCTCCCAATCTCAAGATGCCTTGGAACAAGCAACTGCAGCAGAACCTTAAGAGGTTTCTCCAGAGGCCTTTTCATGATACAATCTGAGACTAGGAGTCGGCTGCAAATGTCATTTCTGAGTACCTCATCTCCAGCTCTTCTTAAATGCTTTGGTTGGGGTGCTGCCAGGTTGAAAGGGAAGGTTTTGCAGGCGGCACTCTGAGATGTAACAATATTGTAGCCCCATCATGTAATGTAATGTTAATAGTGCATGGCTTCAGTGAACATTTTAAAATGTATGTTAAACGTTCTCTTCTAAATATCGGACAAATAATTTGGTGTAAATGCCTTATACAAAACTGCCTTAAAATCATAAAAGCAAAAGCTCACTCACTTACAGTTTGGAACTGAATAGTCTCTTCTTTATTTGCCAGCTCTAGTGCAAAAAAGGACTTGTTGTGGGACATATTTGCAATGTCATGCCACCTAAAGAGAGGATGGGAGAAGACATACATTCTCAAGGACTCACAAATTACTGCAGTGTAACTGCATGCAAACAAGAGATAATATGAACTTGTCCTAATACCTGTATTTATTCGAGTATAACGAACCACTGATTGTAATGTTCACCTCAATTTTGAAGATTCACATTGCAAAAAAAAATTAGTTGTCCAATGCAATGCACAGTTTCCCCTTGCCTGTCAGTCATTCTGCTGCCTGCCTTGAAATAGCCAATAGGCAAAGGGAAGCCGTGTCCTTCCATTAGGCCTGATGAACAGGCAGAAGCTTCCCACAGCTTTAGTGGAGGTTTTGAAGGCCTTGTGAATGAGGCCAGTTGGGAAGCCATGAGAGTTAGGCAACCACAGCCTAATGGTGGAGCAGGTTTATGTGTGTGATTCTAATGCACCATTGAATCTAATGTGCACCACGTTCACGTTTTGGGTTATGTAATTTAGCCAAAAAAGGTAAGCATTAGATTCTAGTAAATATTCTATTTTCTCTTCTTGTTCCTGCCATACATCAAGGGAACCACTGACCGCATAGGGAAGCTGATGAGGAAACACAACATACAAACAATCTACAGACCCACCAAGAAAATCCAACAAATGCTACGTTCAGCAAAGGACAAGAGGGATCCTCTCACCTCTGCAGGAGTCTACCGTGTACCATGCAGCTGTGGACAAGTCTACATAGGGACCACCAAACGCAGCGCCCAGACACGCATCAAGGAACATGAAAGGCACTGCAGACTACTCCAACCAGAGAAATCAGCCATAGCAGAGCACCTGATGAACCAACCTGGACACAGCATATTATTTGAGAACACAGAAGTGCTGGACCACTCGCACAACCACCATGTCAGACTACACAGAGAAGCCATTGAAATCCACAAGCATGTGGACAATTTCAACAGAAAGGAAGAAACCATGAAAATGAACAAAATCTGGCTACCAGTATTAAAAACTCAAAAATTACAACAGCAAAACAACAGAAGGGAAACAAACAGGCACATGAAATCACTCTCAACAAAAGATTCCCCCCAGGCGCTTCCAAGCCATTGAATGCAAATCAAGGTGATCAGCTGAAACATTCACAGCTAGCCCCAGCAAACAAAGTCCTTTGTCTCACCCTGGTCATTCCACAGATATATAAACCCATTTTTCCTAGTTCCAACAGACCTCACTACCTCTGAGGATGCTTGCCATAGATGCAGGCGAAACGTCAGGAGAAAAATTGCCTCCAGAACATGGCCATATAGCCAGGAAAAACCTACAACAACCCATTCTATTTTCTATATATTTCTAGAAATTCTCAGCCACATTTTAAGCTTTCAGTTCAGTTGTCTAATTATTTGGTTAGGCTGTTTGCTTTTGGGACATGCTTCCAACTGGATACAGGGAGTCAAAAATACATTTAAGTAATAATCACCATATGAAATAACAAATACATTACCAGCATGTATCTCAAGTCAACAGTATGGCAATATCCTCACATTTTGTAAAAAGCCCTGTCCTTTGTTTCATGCTCTGTTCTAGGCAGCTTCAAAATGAGAGAAATCAATCTTCCCTCTGTTTGTACACATTCAAGTTGTTGCAAATGCATTCATGAAAACAAGTGTTTGAATATGCCACTTTATTTGGGAAATAAACTCACCTAAAAATGACAGGAGGCCGGCCATTTTTGTGCTTCACAAAGATTCCATCAAGACAAGCTCCGATGAAAATATCACTTCCTTGACTATCCTGAATAGTAACCATAGAGAATGAAAACACTTGAGAGACTAACAAGCGTACCACTATTCTACTACTGAAAGATATATGTTTTATTGTTTTCAAGTGCATGTTTATATACCTTTTGTTTATAATAATATAATGCAGTACAGAAAACTCACAGCAACCCATAATACACTTTATTTATATTCTGCTTTACACCTCCCCCCCCCCAGAGGGACTTGGAGCGGATTAGTTTTACATATTTAAGGCAAACATTCAATGCCTTTTTACACAGTAAACAACATACAATACACAGAGAGAGGTAAGACCTTCCTGTTCCATCTTCGACATCTGGTGGTGATGCTCAACTCTGGCCATGGGGAGATGCTCTTATTCCATTTTTCCATGCCAAGGAGCCTGTTGTCCATAGACTTCTCCGATTGTTTTGCTGACATGTCTGCATTGGTTGCCCTTTTACCTCCCCACCAAGGCAGTACTTATTGATCTACTCACATTACATGCTTTTGATCTGTTAGGTAGGCAGAAGCTAGAACTGACAGCTGGGAGCTCACCCCAACTCACAGCTTCAAACTGTTAACTCTATCGTCAGCAGATTTTCTGCAGCTAGCGGTTTAACCCACTTGCTACTGCAGCCCCACTGTTTGTGACAAAGATCACCTTTCTATATTCACCCCAGAAAATAAATGAACAGCAGGCTTAGAAATATCATTTGTTGCATCATTTGCCATTTAAATCCCAAATTCATTATTTTAATTTTAGCTTCTAAAACTGTAGTAGTAAACTTGAAAACCAATGAATGTTTTTTTCTTATTGTATGGTGATATTAGGAACCTATATATTTGGCCTCAGCAGTACAATATATGTATGTATGCATGCATGGATATGAACATATCTGTCTGTCAAACCTGCCAAATAAAAAATCTTGACTATTTTAGTTGTTGAATTAGGCATGCTAAATTGAGATCCAATGCCTGCTTTCTGGTGTGGCAGCTTAGAATTCTGCTGAACAATAGAAACATTCAAATATGTCATGCTTGTAAGTCACACATCAGAATGCCTCTCCCCAAATCAGCTATGAATATATATTTCAAACATTTTTTAAGAAAATGCAAACAGAAAAAACACAATCCTGATAAATTAGCAAGTTTATGGATGAAACCTAATTTTACCTTGGCAGGATAGCTCTCTTCCCCATAACCATCCATTCTCTCAACCTCTTGCATATATAACATCTCTGCATCAGGTGGCAGGAGCCCCCTTTAAAAACAAATGTATAATTCCATTTACTAACTGCTTAATATAAACATATTTACAGAGCAATATTTTATTGCTGCAAATGCTTGGGACCAGCTTGAAGAACCTTTATGGTCTCTCTTCTTCTGCTCCAAGACCTATTAAGGATTAAAGTTACATGAACTTTATCTCAGAACCAATCTGGCAATCCTAAACCTATGACAATGTAATGTATAATGGAAATAACTCTACTGGAGCAAAATAATAATCCATCGACATCTCCTAGAGCACAGCTTCTTCAACTGTGGGTCACAAGCCCAAAAGGGATCCCAGTAGCTCAATATTGGTGTCAGGAAAAACTGGCAACAGTAAAAGGTTTCTGAATGCCACAAAGACATTTACATGAATCTGTTAGCAACAACAAACAGTAAACTATGCAGAAAATTATTCAACTGTACTCCACAAAAAAGAAAAATCAGCCTGTTTAGCAAGTCTTGCAAATGCTGATTTATTATCAGTAAATGTTTAGTACGCCTATTTTATATACTCATATACCCAGGGTTGTATAGAAATTTCTCGCATGGAAAAGGTTCAAGAAGTTCGGTATTAGAGGTCTACATATTCTTTATCCCTGCTTTATCCCACTCTTAAAGAAGAAGGTATCTGTGCTCTTCAAATCCTCTTCCTGATTTGATCCTCATACTGTAGTTAGCACAAACCAAGTGTTATGCAGCAGCCCAAAAGTTACAAATGTATAATTTTACAACACAAATTCACCATTCATATCTGAAATAATGTCACAATTTCAGATCTATTACCTGTACTTCTGATGAAGTAAGGCCACTTTCTGGGTTGCTTCTTCCAGGATTTTCTCATCTTGTAACCAACCCTGGAGAATCAAACATAAGCTATGAGCTTTACTCCATACAAATTAGCAACATTCAAATTGTGCTTTACTAAATGCAATAAATAAATAAACTTTTAAAAGTGTTATATGCAGTAATGCATCCCTTAATTTAAAGGAACCTGCAGTATTATGTACAAGATTATCAGGGATCAATTTATACACAACCTGCTCCACATAACTTTAACAGAAACAATACCAACTACAACGACCTGTCTTTGTGGCCACATCTTCCCCTACAAACCCACATGATCTCTGAAATCTTCTGGGGAGGTTATTCTCTCCCTCCCACCCCCATCCCAGGCATGGTTGGTGGGGACAAGAGAAAGGGCCTTCTGGGTCGTAGCCCCCGGCTCTGGAACTCCCTCACGAGGAAGATTAGGCTAGCACCCTTCCTGCCCACTTTCCGCAAGGGTCTAAAGATGTGGATGTTCCGCTGTGCTTTTGGTCAGACAATTCCTTAGATAACTGCCCCATCTAGGACCCATCCAGGAGGGCTGCCTTATTTTGATGAAGCAACATTGTGCATAAATCCGTCTCCTACCTTGTCAAAAGCCATTTGTGTTTCCTGACATGAAAGTCTGTATGAAATCCCCCACAGGTGCATCAATTTCTTGCATTAAAGAACATCAGTTATGTGCTGTTCAACATATTAAAAATACCCCTTTCGAGAACATAATAGCTACCCTAGATGAACATGGGAAGGAGGGAAATTGAAAGTTCCATGCAGTTCTGGGACTCTTGTTGTCTTAAGGGTTGTTAAATCTTGTTTCGTTGCTTAAGGTATTTCTACCCCAGGGGTCCTTTCACACTACACAATTATAGTTCCATATAATTCAATGTTAATTGCAATGACTGCATTCTATGAAATCATGGGATTTGTGGTTTAAAGAGGCACTGTGCTTGCTCTCTGGCTGAGAATTCCAAATCTCTCTCCCTCAATCGAATATTCCAGGATTCCGTAGGATGGTAGAATTAACTGTGGAAGGAGACCAGGCTTCAAGCAAAACTCAAGACTACTTACATAAGCAGGTTATAATAAAAATGTAAGTGAAAGGCTATCATAAAACCACAAATAAGAAACAATGACTTGTTGGAAGCCGTTAATCTCCTCCCTTCAGGACAAAATGGTTCCTGAGTTGCTCCAAGGTTATAGTAGAAAGAAGAATAACTACTTTAGCTAGAAGATGGATTTAGATGGTCAATAGGTTTCTATATAACCCATATACCATTGACACTGTAGAATCATAGCAGTCAGACATGGCTTCATTTTATGTAAACCTGTGATCTGTAGTTTATTTGTGATACCAGAGCTTTCTGATACGTCTCACAAAATTACAGAATGTTATAATTCCACAGTATTGAACCATGGCAGTTAAGGTGGTGTCAAGTTCTTATATTTCTGTAGTATGGATACACTTCATACTCAGGTTGTTCCTGATGTAACAGAAGCTCTATATGCTCTAAATATACCTTACATTCTGTTGTGTTTCAGTAATCAGTTTTATTTCACATGAGATGGAATGTCAGAATGACAGAGATGGAGGTGGGATATTTTAATTTTCTCCAGTTTTAATGGAGTTTTGAATCATTATATTTATATATAATGCCGTATCCAAAACAATAAAAATCCAAAGACTTTGGTTAAAGAAGTAGAAGAAATCGGAGTAAATAGCATTCTTATTCTGAAAACTATTTTTTAAAGCAACTATAAAACTTTGAGTTATTTCTTTTGAATCCTGAAGCAACCTTAAATAAAGCAAAAAGTAAAACACTATGCCTATTGATTTCAAAGCCTAAATAGTGATATCCGTAACCACATGCATAACCTCACTTTGAAAAACGTTTATCTCTCCAACTCTAAAACAATTTCTAAAAAATAGAATACAAATTGTAGGACAAGAAACTGGATCATTCTTACCACAGGGAATAAGGCAAATCTTTGTAAAAACTCCTGTGATTCATACTGGTCATAATCTCCAAAATCAGCTGAGGAATGAAGAGAAGACAGATAGGAATTAAACGTTTATAATACTTTAAAAGGGATTCTCTCAGACGAATAACAACAGGGCATTATTCAAAGAATGAGCAACGGACCACATATTAATCTGCAACATGAATTCAGGTGTTTCCTATCCCACAGAAGTCCCAAAAGTGACATAATATATAAAATATGGTTATGAGTGCATGTTGGTTTTTCACCAAGAAATTGGATTTTAGAAAGCCAAGATATTTTATATTCTACCTAAAATGCACAAAATGCAACCAGAAAAGAACTTATGTATTGAAGTGCTATAAATAAAGAGCCAGGCAAGGCTATATAAAAATAGGATAGAATGCTGTTATACAAATAACTTATTCCTCAGATATCAGCAAATATCAGTCTTGGCAGATCTTTCCCAACACAGAAGATGATCATTTTTAAGAAATAAAGTGAGGCTTAACGTGCTATCAGAACTGGTCACATTGATGATTCATCTTTATAGCTGAGCTCTTTACTGACCTAAAGCATTTGTACCAGAGTGCTATAAAGTTCAGTGGATACGTATCAACATTTCACAGATGAGAATAGAAGCGCCTTTATAACATCCCTCCTCTTAAACTACAGACCACTACAGATCATACTTGGCTGACAGGTTCTCTACTATAGCGTCATTCATTTAGACCACACCAGCTTCCTATCTGTTGATTTAATAGACAAGGGGATCTTCAATCATTTGTTTGAAGATAAATCAAGAAAATATCAGTATTGTCTATAATGCTATTAGAGCTCAATGTACACCTACATTCTGCACTGTGCAAAATGACACTAAGGCTGACCTTTGATGTTTGTGTCTCTTATCATTAAAGCATGGTGAACCCTGCTTATTACTTGGATGGTGTACTACCCATGAATCCCAGAAACTACAGAATAAATTTCAGAGGAAGACACTGGCAAAACCACTTCTGAGTATTGCCTAAGAATAATTATATGAAATTAATAGCATCATCATAAGGTGATAGGTGATTTGAAGACTGACAAACACACATATCAATATAAGGACCTAGGATTTGAAAATGGGGAAGGGAATGGTAGCAGGGAGAGTTATAGAGCTTTTAAACCAGCATGGGAATTGTATTCCAGAAAGTAAAAATCCAAACCTTTCAATGAGGTCCACATCTTACTAGAGGGACCCCTAAGACTACCAGACTGAGTCCTTGCTCAGTGTATCTGTTCACCTGACCTCATCAAAGAAGTAAGCAACCAGTGACAAGGAAAGAGCCTTCACTCTTCACTTTCCTTTTTGTTTTCGCAGAAATCATAGTGACAGTGGCTATAAAAATTAGGACCACACAGGCATTAAATAGTCTCCCTGAAAGCTGGAAAATCCGAGACTCCATACTTTCTGTATACAATCGTCCCTCCACATTTGTAGGTTTAACTTTTGTGAACTGATTATTTGCTTATTTGTTTGCTCTAGGAATCTCCAGTGAAACTATATAGTCAACTTATCTAATGTTGGAAATAGCAACCTTCATCAAGCTGCCACAAATAATTTGTTTTGTATATGATTCTGTTTGCTTACTGTATTGTATATGTATGTTTTGGTATGCTGCTTTCCTTTATGCTTTTTGAGATTGTGGGAGGGGCTGCAGACCACATGAACAGATCTGAGACTACTCTTTGCTCAGACTCCATTAGAGCTCAGACTCCAGAGATACTTTAGACTTTGGACGTTTCATAAGAAAGATACCCTGTGTTATCTGCACAGATAAACTACTTCAAATCCTATTTGTAACTGGATTGACAAGTTATGTTGAATAAATGACAGTTGTGAGTAAACCAGATATGTTACTTTTTAACAAAATCTACTTTATTTTTGTCTCTTGAGAGCATGATACAGAAACAAGATATTTTATGGGAGAGTAGATGTTTTTGAGCACTGATAAGAACACTTCTTAAGACCCGCTATGTTTTGTACACTGGCACAATCTCTGTTCCTAACAGATCACAGACAACTAGGTTATCAGTATAACAACTGGAAAACTAAATTGCATGTGGAGATATACCACTAAATATAAGATTTTACTCAAATGGGGTTTTTACTCTTCTCTGGAAGATCATACTTTTTTAAAAGGTTATGATTTTCAAATGGTTGTGAATGCCATTTTTTTCTCCAAAATGTTGTGGAGATTTTGGTTTTTCAAAAGATTATGGTCTCTAAAAGGTCATTTCCAAAATCTAGGCATCTCTAGGTCCCTCAGTACAACTATATGGTCAGTGGCCAGTTGAAGTCAACCAGAGTCACTCTGGAAGACCTAGAAATCTTTAGATAGGTGTCCTCTCAAGTAACCCCCCTCCAGCAATGTCTTTATACATGTTTTTTTCCCACATGAACCCTGTGCCCCTAAAGCCTAAACATGAAGGCAGGTGGTAGAGACAGGTGGTAGAGACAGGCATCTGCAACCTGCTCATCATTTGACTTCTGGAGACTTTGGGAGAAGGAGTTAAGCCTATAGAATGAGAACAAAATCCCACTAGGGAATCCCTCTAGTAGCCCATACTAATAACATTTTAAATGGCATCCTTGAAAAGCACAAATTATAGATACAAGAGAAATAATGAGTTACCAAGGGCAGGTAATTAAAAAATCCCATTTACCCAGGAGAGATAGCATTAATTGCAACATACAGGCAATTTTTGCATTTGTGGAGCCACAATGCCAGAACTGGCTGAATATTGCAATTTGAAGTCATGAAAAGTCTATTTGGCTTTCCCATGTAGTGTGTTAGCTAAATGAGAGTTCCTAGAAACTTTCATGAGTAATTGACAATATGCTGATATTTTCCACCTCACATTGTTTCAGGCAAGCCTTTGGGGCCTTAGAAAGCCAAAGAACCATTGAGCCCCCCCCCCCCCAAGAAAGCTTTGGGTGGTATACCTTGCCCTCTTTACTATAGAAAAATAGAAAGGGTCTTTATTTTATCAGGATTTACTAATTTAGTTGATATCAAAGGATAAAATGATAAAAAGAATCCAACATAAAATAAAACTAAGCTAATAAGATTCACACTCCTTTATGAGATATGCAATGGTAAATCAGTTGCAAAATATGATCAATAAGTATGTTGGGTAAACAGAGAGGTTTCTGGCACTGAGTTGAAGCTGCTGTGTGCCAGTTGGGCTTAGGGAAAGGCATGCTACACCAAAATGCTCCCACATTCTTTGCCTACTACATGGGTTTTGGAATACAACTAGTTATGAAGCCTATATGCAACCTCCTAGATTAGATCCCACCTGCTTATGAACATCAAAGCTGTTAAAATACTATTATGTATGCGAGTTTCCCATTAGCATCTAGCTGGCCACCGTAGGAATCAAATACCTGACTACATAGACCTTTGGTGTGATCCAGCTGGGCTCTTGTGTTCTTAATCAAAAGGAGAGGACTGCCAACAGGAAAACTTTAAAAAGCTTTAAAAAGAAGTAGAAGTTTGTGTTGTACTGTTTAGCTCTCACTTGGGTTTCCTGTAATTATATTGCTATTTTCCAAGAAACACAAGAGAAATAGCTTGTTATATGTATTGACTGTTACTGTTTTGGTTCAAGAAGAGGCCACACATAAATTTACTATAAATGGCACGGAAGAAAATTCGAAGATTGCAAGAACGAAAGAATAATTCTAAGGTTTTAAAGTATACTACCCTTCAATGTGCCAAACATACTGAAAGAACAAGTGCACTATTCAAAGGCATTTCTGAAAATAACAGCAATTTCCAGCAGTCAGAGGAGTCATTTTGCCATTACTCTCTGAAACACTCATAGCAAGGTTTGAACTTTTACTCCTTGGAAAGCACTTTTACTACAAGTAGTTACCCTGCATTAAATAAGAGATAACTGGTTTTTAATGGCTCAAAGTGGTACAAAGAACCCCCATGTTTCTTACAGAGATCTCCAAAATATATTCTTCATATACCTGAAGTGGAAAAAGAATACTTCAGTAATGAAGTATAGAGATCTTGCAGGCACACAAATCAGGTGTGGTTTTAAAACAAAATTAGATTTATTTAGCACTACCAATGTGCTTTTTATTTTATTTTTTACAAAAATGAACACTTATTTTTTCCAATATACTGTAGTCATATAACTACAGACAGTAAGTATGTACTGTTAGTAATGATTATAATGTTAAACAGCTCAATGCACATCAAAGGTACTCTCAATCAAAAGTGATATTCACACTTCAGAGAAAAAGAAAACCCAAGAAAACAGGACCGATAATCTATGGCTAACACCCAGCTTGAAATGTGAAGACCCAGGGGGGAAACATATAGCAAATTTTGGCAGATAAAATCAATCCTGAAAGATGAAAATTCTACTCCTACTCGTTATATTAACAGGTGTGACAATAGCAACATGACAAATCCACTACCAGACTCAATTCAGGTAACATAAATTTTAGCAAGGACATCTCAGCCTAACTTATCTCAAAAGCTGCTGTGGTATCAACACTCGGAAGGGAAACCATAACAATGAATAAAGAATAAAAGCTAAAGGCTATTCCCCTCATGTCCTTTTTGTTGGCTTCCCACAGACATCTGAACACCCACTTTTGTGGGAAACAGGATACTGGATTAGTTAAGAATTTTGATGCAGTCCAGCACTTTATTTTCTGTTACTCTTGTTCTTATCTGTTCAATAGGAAGTACTAAGAACAACTTTGTAAAATAGAACCTTAGTAGTCCAGATACTACAGGTCATAGTAAGGAATGCATTCAACCAACAACACAAGTTTCCCACTCTTAAAGTCAGCCATATATGATTGCAACTGCATTAAGTTACCTTGAACAGCTAAGCCAGCCAGATGAACCGCTTGCTCAAATGTGCAAGGAATGTTTCCTTCTAAGATATCTTTCTTCAATTGAAGATAATACTGGTATCTATGGAAAAAGAACATGTGTTTGTTTTTCCACCACTCATGACAACAGAGAGACCTACAAATGTTCCGAAGCCTATGAATATATATGGAGAGTAGATGTATAAAACGTATTCCCCTGAAAGCCACCAATTTAGATTATAAACAACCTTTTGCTGATAGAATGCCATAAGGCTCTGTGTACATTGAAATACTCTACCTATATCATACTGGTAGGATACACATGCCATGCATTCTTACTCACCTGGTAATCTCCTGCTGAAGCTGGGAGACAGAAGGCACATAAAAAACCACCCCAAAGAATACAGTTGGCTCTAATGCATATTTATCCAGTTGCTTTTTCAATGGTTTGTCAAGGTCTATCCACCGGCGCTGGTTCTGCTTGTTGAAATACCAAAGGCTAAAATAGGTGATCTAAAAGGAGAAAACATAAAAAGGGGAAATGAGGAATGATGAGTATTCAGAAATAAAACCCGGCAAATTTTGCAATAAGAAAGATATGCATACTACATAAACCTATCTTGGGGCTTGTCTACACTGACCCTATAGAATAGTTTCATCCAGAAGTCAGATCTGAATATCTGGATGACATCCAGGGACTTCTGGTCTGTAATGCATGGTAAAACAGAGTTTACAATCTAGTCCAACCTCTTGATGTATAAAGTAAATTCAGAACTAGAGAATTTACATCAACATTTATCAGCCTGTCTGAAGACTGCCAGCAAGGTAAGGCCCACCCTCTTACAGGTAACACGTTCCACTTTTGGCTGGTTTTACTTGATAACCGGGGTTCCCAATTATTTTTTCACAGATTTTTCACACAGAAATTATTTTTTCACATTTTTCAGTCTGAAAATGACAAGGATTGAACCTGGGATCTTGTGCATACAAAACATGTGCGGGACCATTGATCTGAATTACTTTTCAAAAAGGCAAAACTGTGCATTCCCTTGTGTGAATTTTTAACATGCTAAAGCAAACACAACTGCCCTAAACTAATCTCTTTTCAGAGAAAATATCTGAAACCAAAAAATCCCCACATCACTGTCTAGGGGCCCTTCCAGACAGGCCTTATATCCCAGGATCTGATCCCAGGTTTTCTGTTTATCCCAGATTATGAGGCAGTGTGAACCCATATAATACAATTTAAAGCAGAAAATTTGACGCAGATCCTGGGATATAGGGCCTATCTGGAAGGGCCCTTCAAGAGTACAAGTGGCTTCAAATCTAAGGGAGATGATTTCCATCCTCTTCTGTAATTCAACAGGAAAAACCAAAAAGGATACAGTTCCCATTCACTCCTCTCCATGTCATTGCCATGAGCAAAAATTGTATGCTAAGTATTACTTCCTAAGTAATTCTTAGATTACCATCTGACTGTTTTCGTTGTTTTACTGCCTGTACCTAAATACCCCAAAGGCACCTGATCGTGTCTAATCTTGGAAGCCAAACAGGGTTTGATTTGGTCAGTACTCGAGGGGAGCTTGCCAAGGAATGCCATGAGCTGGAGGCTATATTTCATAGGAAAGCAATGGCAAACTTCCTCTGAATAAATCTGGTCAAGAAAACTCAATCTTAAGTCTAAGGCCCCTTCCACACAGCTGAATAAAATCCCACATTTACTGCTTTGAAATGGAATATATGGCAATTTGGACTAAGGTAACCTAGGTCACAGCAGATATTTTGGGATTTTCTGCCTTGATATTCTGGGTTATATGGCTGTGTGGAAGGGTCCTAAGACAACTTGAAGGCACACAATAACCAGCAGTCTTGCTGTGAGATTCTCCAGACAATGGACAATATATAAATAATTTCTCAAACAAATAAGGTCTCCATCATATTGATTTGAATCTTCTCTTTCTAATCCTGCATGCTCTCATCAGTCTAAACAGATGAAAAGTTTTCCAACAATCTGTTCCACAATAGGAACTCTCCAGCTGGTTATGTTTTCTCTAGCCACAGGACTGTAAAACTGGCAAGCAGTATTTAAAGGAAGTCTGTCAAATGCTCTTTTTCTCCATAAATACGTACTAGAGTTGATATGCTCCCAACTAAAACAGTGAAAGGGACTTTCTTGGCATGTAGTACATTTGATCCCTCCGACCTACTAATGGGATATACCCAAAGACTGCTAACTTTGAGTAGTGGCATCATAAAAGTAGTTTTCTTAGAAACAAAGGCATGAGAATCATATATTTTCTTCTTTAGCTCAATCACACACCCAGATAACTCCATTTCAAAACAAGGGACATGTTCCCTGTATGCCTTATTTTCACAAAGATGTTTCGTTCACTGCTACCCTGCCTGATTTCAGTAGGTGAGGAAAACTAGTAACTGCAAAATACAGGCAGATGAAACAATGAAGTGCAAGGACCAAGGCAGTGACATCTCCGGCCCATCCCCTGTTCAGATATCAGCCAGCATACCAACGCCTTAAATCAAGAAATAATTTTCTAAGATCTACAGAAACATTTGAAGGAACACCTCAGCAAGCAAGAGTTCAAAAGTGGCAGGCTAAAACCTCAAGCCATGGCTGATACCAAATGAGAGACTCCCTTCTGGGCACACAGAAGACTGTGTGCCTTGGAAGGCGCAGAACAGACTGCGCTCTGGCACTACGAGATGCAGAGCCAATATTAAGAAATGGGGCCACAATGTGGTGTCCATGACATGCGAGTGTGGAGAAGAGCAAACCACAGACCACTTATTACAATGCAGTCTGAGCCCTGCCACATGCACAATGGAGGACCTTCTTATAGCAACACCAGAGGCACTCCAAGTGGCCAGCTACTGGTCAAAGGACATTTAATATAATGCCAAGTTTTCAAACATTGTGGGTTTTGTTTGTTTATTTGTTTGTTTTTAAATGCATTACAACTGTACCCTCAGTTCACTCCTGATATGATAAATAAAGAGACATGTGTGGCTGACCTACACAATGTGTAGAGTGGACACATTACCCATCACTACTCAAGGCAGCTTCCAGACAGCCAGATCTCACAGTTAAGATAGATGTGCATGGTCTCATATTTTTACATATACAGGGGAACAGAGACAAATTACATAAATGATTACAACCTTTCCCCTGAATCTTCTACCTTTATGGAAGAGAGAGAGAAAAAAACATCTTCCAACTACTTTTATATACTACTATCGCATACCTCCTCACTCATTTTTTTTCTAAGCAAAACAACCACTATTTCATAATGTTCCAACCTTTTAATCATTTTTGTTACTTTTTGCTGCATCTTTTCCCATTTTGATCTCTTCCCCCATCTTCAGCATCAGTTGATATGTGCATCTACAATGTAGAAGTAATGCAGTCTGACACCACTTTATAGCCATGGCTCAATGCTATGGGATCCTGGGTGTTGTAGTTTGGTGAAGCAGTAGTACTCTTTGAGAGAAGGATATAGACCTTGTAAAACTACAGTTCCATAGCACTGAGTCATAGCACGTAAAGTGGCATCAAACTGCATTAATTCTACAGTGTAGACACACCCTTGAAGGAAACACTCCAGTACAGTGGATCAAATATATATGTATAATGCACCCTGTTTTGTTGGCAGGGACTTGGTATCTTTTAATTAATTTATTCTCCAAGTTAAAGCAAACAGTTTGGGAGTTACTTGAGCTAGACACTGCCTGAGATTGTGATAATGCTTATGCAATCTTGTTGTCATTGCAGATGATCTATGTCTGCCCACATGGTATTGCATTTAGCAGGCTTGCCAGTTATAGTAAGAAATGTGGGCTACCACTAATCTTTCAAGTCTATGTAGTGATTTAAGCTTGTCATAGAGACTTCCTGGAGTGGTTCTAACTGCCATTAAAGACCAGTCACCTCATCATTTATATCTATATCTAATAACTAAAAAATAAATAAATCCATGGGGACTTGTGAGACAGGAGTGGGGAAGAACCAATTACATCACCCGATTTCATAAACCGTGTTAGCTACAATGGCAGTGTATTGAAATGGTGTGTGCTACTAAACATAAATGTTATTGTCTCGTTAAAATGGACAGAAATTCAAAAGGGCTAGTTCATGTATTTTCTTTGCTTTACATTAACCCAAGATTTAAAATGGAACAAGCAATCAAAAGATGAACAAGGAAATTTTAGAGTTTAATACATAGGATGGAAGGAATCCCCAGTTAATGTGGATAAAAATACAGAATGTCCTATTTACATCTATGGCTGCAAGTGTATATTTTAGCTTCACAAGCCGTTGGTAGCATTCAGGCATGCCATAACCCTGATGCTGAATGAACTAAAACAGAATCACTTTTGAATCATTGTAAAAGCAAACTGCTATCAGTAGCGCAAGAGATTATTCAACTCTGCAGAAACGACATGACATAATTCTTGAAATATGTTAAGCTTCCAAGATTAACACTGTTGTAAGTTTTGTTTATTTTAGCAATTTACTCATCATTCAACCTCCGGGCAGTAAATCAACAGGAGTTAGAAATAGACTGGAGATTTTCTACACAAATTATGTTCCAGCTAATTGCTTTCTTTGTCATGTATCTGAGAAACAGCAATCCTTTTTTCTATACTTTTTGGGCCATTTAAAAATGTGTGTGGATGCTACATGGTTCACACCTGAACTCATGCAAAATATATACAGAGACTAAAAGATGACATGAAAAAATGAAGCGTAGGGAAAATGGATTTTCTCAAAAGAATGACAACAGCAAAAATATTGAGCCAAGATTAACAAAAGCAAAATACTATTATTTCATCACATAATAGTCATTTCGTCACATAATAGTTGTCATTGCATAATAGTCACAACCCCTTTGGGGGGGGGGTCCTGTTTTTGGCATTTAAGAATTCCTTGCATAATAATTGCACCCTTACTTCATGAGTATGACTATTATGCGAGGGGGCAACACTCGCCAGATTGCCTTTTCCATCTGAGCTATGGCAACCCTTTGGAGCACAGGTTAATTATCCCCCCCCCCCCCCCCCATACACACACCAGGATCAGCTCTCCCCTACAAGCTACAGAGGGCTTCCTTTGCCAAAAAAAAAACCTTCAGAGCTCAGAGGGAGAAAGGCAATCCAGAGGGTGAGCCTTCACATACCCGCACGCCTGCAAGTGAGAGCTACAGGGCCTCCCTCAGTTGGTGGCAACCAAGGGAGGCCTTGCAATTCTCACTAGCATGTGCACAGGCAGCTACTAACTGAGGAAAGCCCCACAGCTACAACAGAATTCCTCACATAATAGTCGCACTACCACCTTTAGGTCCTCTGATTCTAGGAAGGGGTACAGGTGGTACTGACAATAAAGCTGACAATAAGGATTCCTGACCATTGCATCTATCTGGGCTGACATTTGGAGAGACAGATCCAGGATCACTTCCAAACTGCGAACAGCTTTTCAGGGCAGTGTAACTTCATCCAGA